GCGTAGTTTTGTCCAACGCTTCAAGAGGCTACAAAACCAAAATATTAACCTAGAGTCATATTCTTAAATAACCTCATCAGATCTAGGCTCTCATAGATGTCATGTATGACATCCAACTCCTTCGGGAATGTCTAAACTATTAGCTATGTACAACCGTTTTCTCGGATCAATCATTAGAAATAACTTCAAGTGAATACAACCTGTAGGTCTTTGAGAGGACTGTACTTCGTCAGATCCCGCAATCTGGTGACACGGAATCACATATAAAGAACTTTGCCAAATGACAAAGACCACATTACCTGAAAACTTCCAACAGCAGCATCAACTAAAATGGTAGAATATGTAACTCGAAGAGAAAATAATGATATAATGATATAATGTTGACTTCCTATTAATAAAATTCCTATCAATACAAGAGCGATAACATTTTGGTGAGCTTTTAAGAAAAAGATTTTAATAATTTTAACCCGGTGTAATTTTAACAGTTTGGTCAATGAATGCCGAAATTTTCCTGCATGGAAACGGTTGATTACGCCATTAACATTAGAAAACATGTAATTATGATATAAGATTATTATCAGCGGGGTGCAATATAAACTATGGGAAGTTCAGGAAGTGCAGTAGTTGAAACAAAGATCAAAACAATAAATACAAACATTAATCTGGAAGGTAGGAGAACACACCAGCTCAAAGAAAATGATCCAAACAACAAAGAAGTTAATACTCAAGGTCCTTAATAAAATCCAGAGACGAATATGCAATGTAATTGGCCCTGATCTGGCATCTCGTCAGCAGTCGCTCTCTCACAGACGTGTTGTCGCCTCCCTCTGTCTTTTTTACAAATGCTTTCACGGTAACTGCTCCGATGAGCTGCTTTCGCTGGTTCCCAGACTTCATGAATTTAAGCATTCAACTAGGCTGGCATATCGCTCTCACTCTTTCACTGTCGAAACTGTTAAATGTAGCCGTCTCTTCTACTCCAATAGCTTTATGTCTCGCACCTCTCACCTGTGGAATTCTCTCCCCTTTTCCTGTTTCCCTGATAGCTATAATCTCCAACTATTCAAATGTAATATCAATCAACGTCTCCAGATGCCCTGATCTATCCCTTATCCTTCTCGTCATCCTTTCCTCTATCACTCCTATTTGCTCTCGCTCCAATCCTCGGTAACCCTTTGCTTTCCGCCTTGCTTGGGGTGAAAAAAAAACTAATCTGAATAATTTATTTCAAAATATCAGGTTAGGGTTGAATGCATATATTTACCTTGTGGACGTGAATTCAATTTTGACGGGATATAGTAAAAGTTCTACACTGATTAATTGGAAAGAATTAACTGAGACGAGATATCTCGCCTGACATTACCAGTGAAATGAGAAGAACCTTCTTTTGTGGATCAAATAAAGGATTTGGCTAAAAAAAGTTATCAAATGCGACAAGAATCGAAAGAAGTTCACAAGGTACTACGGTTAAAACGTTATGACGATAAGAAACAAGATGCTGACAAAGTCGAGTAGATTAATGTACCGGTGTAATAGCAAAATTGTCCAATTGTTAGATTAACCTCTGAACCGTAGTATTTTAGAAATGATTAAAGATATCTTACTGGAATTCTCCTAAGTTTTTATAGCACTATTGGACTCTGCTGAGAGTAATACGAACGTGTAATTACTCTCCAAGCTTAACAGAAGAATCGTGATGAAATTGATCATAAACGAAAATGACATGTTCATCATTAATTAATCATAGTTAAGGATTGGAAGATCATGATGGATTGAAATAAAGTTCAAATATATATATATATATATATATATATATATATAATTCAGGATTCATTTTCCAACTAATTCAAGATTATCTTCGCCCTCTCTAATCTTCTAATTTTCTGTTCGGGAGTAACAAGTTTCCTCACACATTTTTCACGTACGATTTCATTTTCAAGTTTTTTTTCACTGTTCTTTGGACTGTCATAGGCGAAACTCATCTCTCATGTGTCAAAAGTCTTATGAATTGAGTTACATCTTTTCTAAATGATCTTTTTACTTCTAAGTTGAAATAATGATCCCTCTTGCAGTTATAACCTCCTGATCCAGTTTTCCTTACCACAGATCCCTCTTTTTTACACTTATTCTCCGTTCTCTTGATGGCTCTTGAATGGACTTTGAAGATTGAAGCCAGAGTAGGAATTTTGGTAACATTTCTGAAAGCCTGAATGATCTTTTTCCTCTCAACATTGCTCATTTGAGAAGACACAGTGGGGTGACAAAAAACGATTTTTTAGCCTGTTCTCTTTCTAGCTGAATAACTCAAAGAGTTTTTCAGTATTCCTTACGACAAATGATGTCAAAATGGCTAAACGTCTTATCCGAAAAGCTGAAAAAAAGAAACTCAATTAGTTTAGTGTTATTTTTTAAATATTAAACATTTTGTGAGATGGAAAATTATCCTGTAACATGATTCAGCCAATTTTACTGTTATGCCCCGTATCAGAAGGATTGTATCTTTTTACGATTTAAATGTTAGAGTCTTGTTAGAATTCTGGAGATTTCGTATAATTTGTTGAAATATCGTTTTCTGGATGTGATTAGATGGCATTAGGAATGTTTAGTTTTAACTAATTTTATTGAAATGATCTTGATTCAGAAGCATGGCCTCGATGCTGGTAATCTTCAGGTGGTTGGAATGTTGAACTGAACCCTTTATTTCGCTCGCTGGGGTAGCTACGGAAAAAATATAAAGAGGGGTAGACCCCCCCTTTAAGGTAAGGCTTCAAGAACACCAAAAAGCTCTAACACGAGGGGAAGTGGAAAAATCAGGCATGGCTGACTACATATAGAGAGAAAAGGGAGATCAACGCTCTCTGCGGGATCAGGTTGAAATCATAGACAAAGAACATCATTGGAAAATTGGTAAACTTAAGGAATCAGCACATATGCTTAGCCACAAAAATTTCCTGAGCCGACCAAGCATAGAAATAAATACAATATGGGAACCAATAATAAGAAATGCCAGAGAAAAGCAATAATAACAACGAAAGTAAAAAAAAATGCAATGATAACTGCAAAAATTGCAATATGAGCACTGATAAAAAATGGTTGATGACGACATTAAATTTATAAGTCCCAGAAATTCATACACAGATGTCCTTAAGGACATGGTACAGTGGATAAAGCGTTTGTTAGATCCAGTGACAGGACCCAAAGAGTTGTGAGTTCAATACCTGGTTAAGGCAGTGGAGAAATTGGAGAGGTGAATTAACATAACTGACATCCATTAGACATGGCACGTGGAACTAGAACAGTTAAACCCAGCGAGAATAAAAGGTTCTATAAATAAAAATAAAGGGTTCAGTTTGACATTCTAACCACTTGAAAAAAAAAAAAAATAGTGTACATAATGCCTCATCTCAGAAATATAGGCAGATACGATCAAAAATGGTTTGCGTGATTTAACGCTGAAGATTTCTCACTGAACAAAGCCCGTACATTAATCTCCTCTACCAAATACAAATACTTCTTCCAGAACGATTTAGTTATTTCCTTCGGTTTCAATACCCGGTTAAGGCAGTGAATAACATACAGAGAAGAATTAACTGGTAATTGACATCCATTAAACATGGCATGTGGGACTAGAACAGTCTACCCCAGTGAGCGAAATAAAGGGTTCAGTTCAACTTTCCAACCACCTGAAGAAGTCCGGTCCGAAACGTTGTAATAATTATGGCGACAAAGATGACGACAATAGTCCGAATAATGTAAATAATGTACATAATACCTCATCTCAGAAGTATAGACAGATACTGAACGACCGGAACGTTGTAATAAATATGGCAACAAAGATGAGGACAATAGTCCGAATAATGTAAATAATGTACACAATACCTCATCTCAGAAATACAGACAGATACTGAAAGGCCGAAACGTTGTAATAAATATGGCGACAAAGATGAGGACAATAGTCCGAATAATATAAATAGTTTACATAATACCTCATCTCAGAAATATAGACAGATACTGAAAGGCCGAAACGTTGTAATAAATATGGCAACAAAGATGAGGACAATAGTCCGAATAATATAAATAGTTTACATAATACCTCATCTCAGAAATATAGACAGATACTGAAAGGCCGAAACGTTGTAATAAATATGGCAACAAAGATGATGACAATAGTCCGAATAATGTAAATAGTGTACATAATACCTCCTCAGAAATATAGACCGATACTGAAGGGCCGAAACGTTGTAATAAATATGGCGACAAAGATTAGGACAATAGTCCGAATAATGTAAATAGTGTACATAATACCTCATTTCAGAAATATTGTCTATATTTCTGAAATGAGGTATTATGTACACTATTTACATTACAATGCTACAAATCGTTTGTTCCAGTGTGGTTAAGTTAGTTGTTTTGATTCGTGGATTCCAAATAAGCCAAAAAAAACTTACTGAACTAAGTTTCCGATTACCATTCCCTACCTAAATTTAACGAAAATGTTTTGTTTTTAAAACGCATAATTACGGACGATGAAAAGTCAATGGACTTCAAAATTAGATTCGAACAAAGGCAAGTGGGGTCTGTATCCGGTCCTGAATTTTTTTTATGACAGTGTAAACATTCATCTACAAGTGAGCTCTTTAAAGAAATCACCCCCTTCCCACAACCTTCCGATGATAGTCAAGTGCCTCTCGAACAGAAAGTAGGGATTTTCGGACGTGGGCCTGTACAGTCAGGCTTCATTCACGGATAATCAGTCAAGAGGCCGTCTGCGGAGATGGAGGGTTGCGGGGAGAATCAAAGAGAGTCTGAGGCAAGTAAATATCACAATTAAAGTCAGGAAAGATGGAGAGTCATTCAGAGGCAGACCGAGTCAGATTTTTGATGGTCCGTTAGTCTGTCGTGATAGAAGACACAAGTATCCCAAGTATCACTTTTCTACCCGCCAGATAATACCAAGTAAATCCACGAATTAATAATACAGTGTCTTGAAAACAGGAGTTATGTTTCCTTTCCTCGCCCTGCCGATATTTCACCATCGGTTTCCGTGTGAATTTACATCGAACCAATTCAATTCTCGCCAGTGAACACCGGAATAGAAACACTATCCAATCGGTTAAAAAACTGAAAGACCCATTCAAATATTTACACAACAACGTGAAATGCAAAAAAATTGTTCAAGCAAAAAAAATGAGCCTACCAAGGGCAGACGTTGACGACACTACCATTTACTCCGCCTCCATATTAAGGCTGATAAGTTCAACAAGGTCAACATGGTAACCGGTCTCCAAAACGAACTCAAGATCGTCGTTAACTGGGGCAAAGGATAGCTTGTCAATTTTAAAAAACTTCAGAACTAAACTTCTCTCCATTAATCATCCGAGAGATTGCATTTTACCTTTTATCAGCATGGCTGATGCTATCCTCCAGGAAAGTGAAAATTGCGCTTTCTCGGGCTAATATAGTGTATAAAGTCTATATTGAATCCATTGCTAGATCAGCGTCTAAGAAAGTCGGTTGACTGTGTCCAGCGAGACAGTTCTTCTCTCCGAAATCTATCTTAGATATCTATAAGTCTACTAATCGTCCATGCATGGAATATTGCTGGAATATATGATCCAGTGCCGCTGTTGTTTGCCTGGATCACCTTGATATGATCCAAAGAAGAATCAGCAATTGTACTGGTCCTCATCTTGTGGGTCAGCTTCAGTCACTTTCCCACTGCCGTAAGGATGCCAGTCGGTATTTTTTATAAATAATTTCATGGTAATTGTTCAGATGAGCTCTTCGCTATGGTCACTAAATTAAATTGAAGAAGTCGTAAATTTTATGCTGACAACCCTCTTCCCGCACACTTCTCGCGTCTGGCACTCGCTTCTGGGTCAATGCTTCCCAGCCAATTTTAATCCGCAAAAATAGAAATACAATGTGAATCAATATGTACTCTCTTCCGGATTGCTCTTTTCTCTTTCTACTCATTACTCGTCAATCGCTATCTACTCTCCACCCATTGCCCTTTTCTCTTTCTACTCATTACTCGTCAGTCGCTATCTACTCTCCACCCATTGCCCTTTTCTCTTTCTACTCATTACTCGTCAATCGCTATCTACTCTCCACCCATTGCCCTTTTCTCTTTCTACTCATTACTCGTCAGTCGCTATCTACTCTCCACCCATTGCCCTTTTCTCTTTCTACTCATTACTCGTCAATCGCTATCTACTCTCCACCCATTGCCCTTTTCTCTTTCTACTCATTACTCGTCAATCGCTATCTACTCTCCACCCATTGCCCTTTTCTTTTCTACTCATTACTCGTCAATCGCTATCTACTCTCCACCCATTGCCCTTTTCTCTTTCTACTCATTACTCGTCAATCGCTATCTACTCTCCACCCATTGCCCTTTTCTCTTTCTACTCATTACTCGTCAATCGCTATCTACTCTCCACCCATTGCCCTTTTCTCTTTCTACTCATTACTCGTCAATCGCTATCTACTCTCCACCCATTGCCCTTTTTCTTTCTACTCATTACTCGTCAATCGCTATCTACTCTCCACCCATTGCCCTTTTCTCTTTCTACTCATTACTCGTCAATCGCTATCTACTCTCCACCCATTGCCCTTTTCTCTTTCTACTCATTACTCGTCAATCGCTATCTACTCTCCACCCATTGCCTTTTCTCTTTCTTTCTCGTCAATCGCTATCTACTCCACCCATTGCCCTTTCTCTTTCAATCGTCAATCGCTATCTACTCTCCACCCATTGCCTTTTCTCTTTCTACTCATTACTCGTCAATCGCTATCTACTCTCCACCCATTGCCCTTTTCTCTTTCTCTCATTATTCGTCAATCGCTATCTACTCTCCACCCATTGCCCTTTTCTCTTTCTACTCATTACTCGTCAATCGCTATCTACTCTCCACCCATTGCCCTTTTCTCTTTCTACTCATTACTCGTCAATCGCTATCTACTCTCCACCCATTGCCCTTTTCTCTTTCTACTCATTACTCGTCAATCGCTATCTACTCTCCACCCATTGCCCTTTTCTCTTTCTACTCATTACTCGTCAATCGCTATCTACTCTCCACCCATTGCCCTTTTCTCTTTCTACTCATTATTCGTCAATCGCTATCTACTCTCCACCCATTGCCCTTTTCTCTTTCTACTCATTACTCGTCAATCGCTATCTACTCTCCACCCATTGCCCTTTTCTCTTTCTACTCATTATTCGTCAATCGCTATCTACTCTCCACCCATTGCCCTTTTCTTTTCTACTCATTACTCGTCAATCGCTATCTCCACCCATCCCTTTTCAATTTCCATTACCGTCATCGCTATCTACCCTTTTCTCTTTCTACTCATTACTCGTCAATCGCTATCTACTCTCCACCCATTGCCTTTTCTCTTTCTACTCATTATTCGTCAATCGCTATCTACTCTCCACCCATTGCCCTTTTCTTTTTCTACTCATTACTCGTCAATCGCTATCTACTCTCCACCCATTGCCCTTTTCTCTTTCTACTCATTACTCGTCAATCGCTATCTACTCTCCACCCATTGCCCTTTTCTCTTTCTACTCATTACTCGTCAATCGCTATCAACACTCCTCACTACTCTTTTCACTTTCTACTCATTACTAGTCAATCGCTATTTACTGTCCACCTCTTTCGTCTTTACTCTTTCTACTCATTACACGTCAGTCGCTATCTACTCACCTTCTTATGGCTCTTTTCGCTTTGTACTCAATGCTCGTCAATCGCTATTTAATCTTCACCATATTACCCTTCTCTTTCTAATCATTACAAGTCAATCACTATAATCTCTCCATCTCTTTACTCTTTACTCTTTCTACTCATTATTCGTCAATCGCTATCTAATCTCCTCCATATTACTCTTTTCTCTTTCTACTCATTACTTGTCATTCGCTATAGACTCTCATCTTTTTTCTTTCTACTCATTATTCGTCAATTGCTATCTACTCACCTCGTTATTGCACTTTTCTACTCATTACGCGTTCATTGGTATCTAATCTCCTCCTCATTGCTTTTTTCGCTTTCTACTCTTTACTAGTCAGTCGCAATCTACTCACCTCATTCATTGGTTCTTTTTCTTTCTAGTCATTACTTGCCAATCTCTATCTAGTCTCCTCCTCATTGCACTTCTGTTTCTACTCATTATTCATCAAACGCTCTCTATTCTCCACCTCTTTGCTCTTTAATCTTTCTACTCATTCGTCAATCGCTATCTACTCTCCTCATCATTGCTCTTTACTCTATCTACTCATTACAAACCAATCACTATCTAGTCTCCACCTTATTAGTCTTTTCAATTTCTACTATTACTCGTCAATCGCTATCAACTCTCGTCCTGATAGGCTCTTTTCTCTTTCTATTCATTACTAGTAAATCACTATCTACTCTCCTCCTTATTGCTCTTTTCTCTTTCTACTCATTACTAATATTTCTATCCCTAATTTCTCCACACCCGGTAACGCCTTGAGTTCTTGTGGCTGTACTGCTTTGATTGGGGTTTTACCGATTAAAAAAATATCTCTGATGAGTGATAGGATCACCAAACGATTAATTTGAACAAGTATTATCCTAAGAGACACTAACTGAATATATCTATCGGAAAAAGTGGCCATCCAGTTGTAATTAAGAGAAATGGCCATCAGAATAATGTTAGACCATATATATATATATATATATATATATATATATATATATATATATATATATATATATATATATATATATATATATATATATATATATATATATAAAGGGAGAGATACATGGTTATGACTTAGCTGGAATTTTTCACTCGGCCGCTCTATTCAAAAGATATTTTACGTTCGAATTGAATATGCCGGTAGAGCATCGGTTAGAGATTCAGAATGATAAATCGGCGAGCCCAGTTCGAATTCCGCCCTAGTTCGTTACGTTCACTTTCGTGCTAATACCCTTGAAAAAGTTATGAATCCCCTCCCAGCTGTGGGTTAAATAGTGAGGATGACCGTGCTCGCTTACACTGAGGTATGAACCAGTCTAGTAGAAGGAAAACAATGTATTCAAACCAAGCCTGAAGAGAAATGCAAGCCAGCAGGCTAACTAGGCTTGTTACTGCCACTACAGCTACTCTACGTATGTTTCACCTGCGAACCTCGTAGGTCATGGAACTTTTCGTTTTCTTTTTATTGTGAAATACCTGAGAATTGTTTTTGTTTTGAGAATAAAATCAATACCGAAAGTTATCTTTTTAAAAGAAACTTTAAAAGGATAAAAGTTCAAAATGACGTTTCAAACAGCCGAACTACAAAATGAAAAGGAATAAAGTTAAAGCCAACAATTACTCAAAAGAAAAAAGCAAACACTTCGTCTGAAACTAAACTGACCGAATGCGAAAATTATAAAATTTAACTAAAACAGGCTAAGCTATTTTCGAAACAAACATTAGTCAAATAGCTTTGGTTGTAGGCATATCATTATTATTATAAATAAATAAAAATAAAATATAAAATTATAACAATAATATCAATGAAAATTATAAATAAAATAAAACAATAATATTTAAACCGTGTTTAAAATAAATTAAACAAAAATAATTTAAATTACTCCCAGCATGCAACAAAAACTGTTCCTACCGGTAATACGTACATGCCGCGATAAGACGTTATATTCAATCTCTTCGCCAAGAAACCCAAGGCGGGCAGCACGTGTGTAATATCTCTCTGTGATATGACTTGTAATACTACGGAGTAAACTTCTCACTTTTATAACATGTACCATAAAAACAATTGTAACGTAAAACATACACATATCAAACACACAAATGTATTTTTTAAAAATTTATGAAATTAACATATAATTTACCACGTTTTTCCTGTTATTGTGTACGTTTATTTTCCTGCTATTATCTTCGTGAATACAAGCCAAATTCCCACCACTGTGGTGTCAGTGAATACACCACCACGTGGTTAATGGATTTAGTCTCATAGTATTTGAGAGTCCAATCTTTCGACCGAGAAGTGTATACTTGGACTCGGGGTGAGCAATAATTAAACAGTACTAAATAAGAACGAGATGAAATATGCTGAGACATGGTCAACGGAACAATGAAAATCTACTCCGTAGATTAAATAAAGAGTTCAGTTCTAAATTTTCTGCTGGTTACCTGGGTCGACAATCAGCCAGCTACAATGGCCGAAACGTTGTAAATAATAACAATAAGATGAGGATGATAGTCCGCCCTTAAAATTATAACTCACCCCGGAAATTATCGGAATGAAAAGTTATTCAAATGCACGGACCTCAAGGAGAGTGGTTAGAGTACTTTTTACCATGTTTTTAAGAAATGCTATTAATGGAAAGGAAACATTACTTGAAAGACTGCAAAAGACATTGCAATTATCAAGGTTCGCGAAATGTTCTCGTGGGATGAAATTACGTAAATGGCGGGAAAATAGCGGTAAATATTTTTTTGTTGTTCAATAAAGATTGACATCAACAATAAAATGTCTTTTTGTTTTTCTGAATCAAATTAACTTTTGGGGCAAGCCAATATTTAAGGAAGGAAAATTTTTGCGAAAGTTCTCATATTAAAGCATTTCGTTTCTTCGTTTCACTTCTTGAATCGCCTTTGCTGTTGATGTGAGTCTTGTTACTATTAAACATTTCAAAGGCGACAAAATTGGTTATTCTGATTCTTTCAGTCATTGACATTAATTTTTTTTCGTTTCTAACTTATATCATTTTCCTTCTTTACTTCTTAAGTTTTTACTTTCTTCCTTTTTATTTTTAGTTTTCCTTCGTTCATTATTTCGTCATAGTTTCTATTCTTTTATTTAAATAATACAAATATAATAGCCTCATCCATATGTAAAAAAGGCTGAAACAATAATGGAAGCATTAATAATAATAAAAAAAGAAAAAGCCAACCCTCAACATCATCAACTACGAACACGGTCAGAATGTGCTTACTGTGTTTGAAAAATAGAAACATTTCTAAAAATCTAGATACATACATGAAAAATACCTATAATCTGTTAAAAGGTAAAAAATAAAAATCACTCTTAGTGATGGCTAAAAGAATAGCCGAAAGCGCTGGGACATACAGAATATTCGGAAAATTTCTACATAAATTGTTGTGTCCAGAAAAGCAAAAGATTATACGAAAACAAGGAAAATTAAAAAAAAAAAAACGTAACGGCAGTATCTTGTCAGTTCTTTTAACGAAACTTGTATAAAAGAGAGATTGCTGCCCAAATACGCAATTATATATATATATATATATATATATATATATATATATATATATATATATATATATATATATATATATATATATATATATATATATATATATATATATATAGACATTTTATGTTTATACATTCTTTTTTTAAAAAGTGTTTTTAAATATTTGTCGGACTTTGTTCATTTCATATATATATATATATATATATGTGTGTGTGTGTGTGTGTGTGTGTGTGTGTGTGTGTGTGTGTGTGTGTGCGTGCGTGCGGTACTTATTGAAAGCGCTCAAAATCGGTGATAGAGCTAACATACTTTTGCGATCCTTAGACAAAAGCGTGAAACCTAGGGTTATAAACTCACATCCATACAACTATATATATATATATATATATATATATATATATATATATATATATATATATAGGTCTGATAAAAAAAAAAAAGTATCAGGGCTCTTGCTATGGAATCGTGCTAAAGTACACAGAGTGAAGTCTGCTCGTCATATATGGACCTTGAACTCTCTCCCCAATACACAGTAATTTATAACACTACCGCTCACTTTCATTGTTTATAGCAGTGCTTGGAATGAAAGCGTGCAAGGTGTGGTCGTCTCACTACACCACCAAGAATCCATTAGTGAACATTGCTCATGCAGTAGTTTTTGTTACAATATTCCCCAGGTTTGACGACCACCATAATCCATAGATGTCGACCATTGTGACTGTTTCCTCATCAAAAATAAAATCCTTCTTTCAAGGAACTAGATTTCAAAACACCGAGGGAATCCAAGAGAATGCGGCGAGAATTTTCTTTCCATGTTATAAGATCAAGTCTTCTTGCTTGGTTGGTGCTCTCTGTTTGGTAGCCGTGATCTCAATGTATTTCGTGATTTTTGTTTTTCAAGAGAATGTATCTGATTTTTACTCATACTATTTGTCTACAAATTTTTTTTCCACAGTAACAATGTATGAATATTGTCACCCTGTCATGTTATCTTTCGTATTCTTTTGGGGGTCACTTTGATATCTCGTCACTGATTATACGATTTACCATTTCATCTATTTTCTCCGCAGAGAAGTCATCCGAGGTCTGCAAATTTTTGGCGTCATTTTCCTTGATGTGTTATGATGATCGGGGTGACCGTTTCTATGTCCAGGTTTCTTCGGCTTAGCTATGTCCACACATGTCTTTGATTTAAATGAAAGAATAATAATTGTTGGTTTGAATACATTATAACGGACAAATAAAAGATACAGTTTCTATGGTCGAATATTTGGCTTCATCCAATCATTCCTAAGAAATTGTGTAATGAAGGTCGTGTTGAACAGACACGCTTCTAATTTATTTCCCATTAATACAAGAATCATCCAAGGTTCCATCGTTGGACATAAATTCTTTCTTATCATCATCGAAGCCCTTCACGATATGACCCATTCCTTTCTAGGTATTTCTTTCATACACTGCGTGCCAAATTATTATCGAGATAACTTTTTTTCTAATATTTCAAAAACCGTCCAATCAATTCACACAGTGTTGGCAACACTGACTTGCGCAATCACTGAAATTTTCGTACTGATCTGCGCAATGTAAAAAAACTGGCGCCATATTTGTTATCAGCACTGTGATTTGAGCGTGCCAAATTATTAGAAAAGTGTAAGAATTTAGTGAAAAGATGGGCCATAAAAGCAGTTTAAGTGCTGCTGAAAAGAAAACTATCACCTCAGAACTCTCAAAAGGTAAATCTACCCTAGAAATTTCTAAAATGATAGGGAGGTGTCATCAAACAGTGAAAAAGTTCACCGCTGACCCTACACAAGTACGCAAAAGGGCAGATAAAGGCAAGCCGAGGGTTATTTCACGTC